TCATGTATCGACCACTGAAGAACGTCAGCGCATCGACAATGTCTCTAACAACACCCCCTCGAGCTCTGAGCGCTACCTCGTGTCCTCGTGACCATTCGTCTCTCACGACGGCCAGAGCTCACCCAAACAATCTATCTCGAGATCCAACAACACTGCGACAAACAACCCTCGCTGCATCCTCAGTGCTCAATCTTGTTGACACACGCTCTCACCTACGCGGCGACCAATTGCTACCTACGAACGACATTGGAATCTCTACCCTGTTGACTTTTTCTTTTTTGCTGCAACTCGTCTTTGGCGCAACAAAATCAGCTCAGCAGCATCTGTGAACTGGATTAGACTGCGCTTTCTGCCTGCAGCAGAGCCGAACTCAACCTGACGTGCGTTCACCGGTTGTGAGAGAGATCCTGTTCTGGGCCCCTAGCTTGCGCTCCGCCAAATTCCATCCGCCTGTCCACTCTTCTTAGGGTTTCCCTGGGTGTGGTGTCCATTGCAAGTCTGCAATCTTTAGCCGTCACCATGACACATGTTTCAGAGTCTCAAGAAATTCACAAACGGAAGCGCGATGCGGACGATGCTGGCAGCCAAAACAACTCAGACCGCATCCCTCAACCGCCTCCACCGCAATCTGGTATGTAGCAGCGGCTCACACTATTGTGTTTGCGACCGTCTTTCATCTTGTCTTGTCCACATGAGCCCTCCAATCCGATGCAACACGCCCATCATGCACCTGAACGGCTATCCGCCGCGCGAAAAGCATAGACCCGTCATCCAATCCTCGGGTCTATCATTGATTCTTGGCGCTCCGGGCCGGGCGTGCTCGGCTCCGGGCGTGACGATGTGCCGAGGCTTTGACTTGAACTGAGCAAACAGCCAGCCTTGAACGTTGGCCGCCTCACGGATACTCGCCACTCTATTCAATCAGCCTTATGGGGACGCAATACATCTTGTTGAATGAAACCCAGCTAATCTATGTTTCCAGGCAACTCATTCCTCATCAATTACCTGACCAAGTCGAGCACCGGAAGACTGGAGCTCATTCCTGGTGACGCTGACACATTTTGCGATGTTCTTGGCCTTCTCAACAGTTATGAAGGTGCGAATAGAACCCAGCCATTACCCTCCTTGTTCGATCGTAAACTAACACCAGTCAGGGGTGCTGAACAGGCACGAGAGCCTGGCAGCCAACCTGGGTGCCAAGCTCACGGGCCCTCGCCTGTTGAGGGCCATGGAGGGTGTCTTTGAAGGGCCCATCATTGCATCTCCCGCATCTCCATACCATCATCAGCACGCGCCAATAAGCTGGCTCGATATCGTCACGTTCGCGCGATCAAACTCGGACAAATTTGTACTGACCACCAACGCTGACGGTGAGCGATCATGCCAGTTCTTCCTCAATGGGTCGCAGGTACAAATCCTTGAAGACGACTGGCGACTGATAGTAAACGGCACCCTTGACCGATTCTCCATTGCCTCAAACGCACCGCTCGAGGAAGACGAAACGGCCGAGCTAGCGACGCTGGACATTGTTGAAAAGAGGTTACAGGTGCTCATCAAGAAAGGAA